CAATTGCGATTCTATTTCTGAAAGCTCAATTCTGTAACCCCTAAGCTTGACCTGAAGATCTATTCGCCCTAAAAATTCAATATTCCCCCGTTCGTTGAAACGGGCAAGGTCACCACTACGGTACAAGCAGGATGGTGTGGTATCTGAAAGCGGAAAAGCTGGCTGAATAAATTTTTCTGCGGTAAGTTCCGGCTGATGCAAATAACCAATAGCCAGCCCCGGCCCGCCGATACAAAGTTCACCGGGTACGCCAATGGGTACTGGTAAATGTTGTTCATCCAGGATATAGGTAGTATAGTTGACTGCGGGTTTACCGATTGTTATTTTATGTAAAGGATCAAAATCGGCATAGGTAGCAATGACTGTTGCTTCTGTTGGTCCGTAAGTATTTACAATTCTCAAGCCACTGCTATGCCATGGTAGTAATAGTTCGTGCGGACAGTTTTCGCCACCAAGAATCAGCAGGCGTAGTGATGGTAAAGGGTATTGCATCATCGAGAGCATGGTCGGTACTGTAGAAAGCACAGTGAGCTGATGGGTTGCAATATAGTCACTCAAATCTGATCCGGAGTGCATGACGGCTTCTGATACAGGAAATAAGGTAGCACCAGATCTGAAAGCCAGCCAGATTTCCTCTAAGGAGGCATCAAAGGCTACAGAAAAAACTTGTGCAACTTTATCCTGCGGGTTTAATTCAAATAAACGGTCTTCTCCTTTAACCAGGTTACTGATCGCTGCATGAGAAATAATTACGCCTTTAGGACGTCCTGTTGAGCCGGAAGTATAGATCATATAAGCCGGGTCGGCTACTGTAATTGCTATTTCCGGAGCTTCGGTATCGTTTTGACGAATGTCAAATGAGCTGCCATCAACGATGATCACTTCACAGGAAAGTTTAAAGCCGGCAGAGCAGGCTTCATCACTTAACAAAAATTTAGCGCCGCAATCTTCCAGGATAAAACTGACTCTGTCTTCGGGATAACCAATGTCCAGCGGAACATAGGCTGCTCCTGCTTTAAGAATGGCAAGCATGGAAAGATAAACTTCCGGGGAGCGTTTGAGTAGAATCCCAACAAAATCACCTTGCTGTATCCCTTTTGCAATCAGGCGGGCAGCCAGCTGGTTTGCGGCCAGGTTTAATTCCTGATAGCTTACCTGTCTGCTTGCTGAATGAACTGCCCTGTTTTGAGGAAAAGTTAATGCAGTGCGTTCAAATATAGACTGTAATAATTCGGGTGTTCCAACTGCGTTATCGATCAGACCGGTGTTAAAAATGGCAAGTTGCTCCAGCTCCTCCTCGTCCATAAAGGTGAGTTTGGAGATTTGTATCGCCGGATTTTCTGCTACCTGTTGTAATACATTCAGAAAGTGGCTATTTGCTTGTTTAAAAACGGCAGCATAAAATGCGGTGTCTTTACAGCTGAATACTGAGCCAGCCACATCACCATCTTCTATACGAATGATACATTTATATTCATGGGCCTGATCATCACTTTTCCAGATAATACAGTAAAAAAAAGTCATCAGTAAACTTGCTATCCAGGGTATCGATACTGGTGAAAATATGATCGCTTAAGGCGCTGAATGTCAATGATCCAGCTAATGGATATTGAAATTCCACTGCACTTTCTATTGTACCGTTCTGTCCTTTTTCCTGAATGCTCAGTTCAATCTTTACTACATCGTTCAGATAGGCCTGATATTTATTCAACAGCACATAAACAACTCCTGTAACAGCACTTAATAAGTTTAAAGTTTGTTTAGAAGGCCCGGTTAATTCATTCATTTGTGTAGCAGCGTATTTAAAATTCTTAGCAAAAATCAGTCTGTAATCCCTATCGATATGGGCTGTACAACTTAGTTGTTTTTTCTGTTATTCCCATAACCCTATTGCATTAAATAGGATTTAAATTAATCAGGACATTATTGTTTACTTTTTATAGTTTACAAAAACCAGTCCTAAAGCGTTATTATTAAATTGTTCAGTTTATCCTTTATACAGTATCATTCCTTTTTGCTCTATTATCATTTCTTTCTTTTGCGCTGTTATAATTTCTTCCTTTTGCGCTATTATACACCTCTCTTCTTGTTCTCTTTGTGCTCCTGATCCGGTACACTTTGAAGAGCCGATCCGGCAGACTGCTCTTTTAGTGCTTCAACAGGCTGCCCTATTTGCTAAAACACGAACAAAACGCCTTTATCTAGCTTTAATTGTAACAGTTCACAGAATAATTGTCGTTTTATTTGATTGGATTGCTCTTTATCATTTGATAGGATTACTTTTTACCCCTTCAAACGTGATCTGCACTGGTTTAATAAATCCGTTGACGTCAAATTCCATTTTATCGATACAGGTTACCCGGTGGTTTCCATTGGTTTCATTTAACGGTCTTCTATGGTAAACAATATAATAATCACCAGTTTGAGGGTGTTTGATAACAGAATGATGACCTGCTCCAGTGGCAACTTTTGGATCTTGTTTAAGTATTTTATCCACTCTTTTGAAGGGGCCCATTGGTGAATCGGCTATAGCATAGGCTACGGAATAGTCAGGACCTGTCCATCCACCTTCTGACCACATAAAGTAATATTTTCCATTTCTGATAAACATATAAGGGCCTTCCACATAACCTTTAGGAGTAATTTCTTTGAATAACTTGCCATCTTCAAATGGAACAAACCCGGTAAAATCGGGTTTCATTTTACCGATATTACAATGTCCCCAGCCACCGTATATCAAATAATACTGACCGTCTTTATCTTTAAATATAAACTGATCTATAGGCTGGGCTCCGTTATAAAATTTATCAATTAATGGTTTTCCGAGATAATCTTTAAAAGGGCCTTCGGGCTTATCGGACACACCTATCCCTATTCCTCCTGTTTCCTGATCACTTTGTATATCATTTGCACCAAAAAAGATATAGTATTTATTGTCTTTTTTAGTGATAGAGGGTGCCCATACTGCTTTTTTTGCCCATTTAAAATCGGCAGTATCCAGCACATGGCCATGTTTTTTCCAGGTTACAAGATCTGAAGACGAAAAAGCATCCATAAATACTTGCTCTTCATATTTAGCGGAATAAGTTGGGTATACCCAGAATTTGTTATCAAAAACTATGGCTTCAGGGTCTGCATACCAGCCCTGGAAAATCGGATTACCTGAGGTTT